ATTCGCTGCGTATGAACTTATCGTAACATAAACGTCATTGCCAAAGGAAATAGCGATAGAATGTTACACGTGATTAAACAGAATGCTTTCAGTGTTTTTAATTTTTAGGTCATGATGTTATAAATTAGCGTGCACTCTCTAGTGCTAAAAGAAATCTCTAACGAAATTGTACGCGTTACAGTACGTGACAGTAAAAGGACTTTTTTATTATCTATTTTATTAAATGGATGTATATGTATAGTACATTAATACCTCAAAAATGTGGAACAATTCTTTTCTATGTGAGGCTTTGTTTTCATAAAATTTAATTTTATATATTTCATAATTATGCATGCTCACGTTTCAATTATATTTTATTGACATGTCTAACTGTTACTCTTTATTTCTATTTGTCAAAATGTGGAATCCTTGTCAGTATAATACTTTACATAATAAAATAACGTCTAATGATACATTATAAGGTGTGTTATTACACTAAATACTGTAGAAAGCGTTAAAAAAATTTGGTAGAGTAATTAAGAAATTCTTTCCAAAACTGACAGAAAATTACTCTTATAAATGTTAATATTTGCAAATATAACCGTAAGTAGAAATCGTGTATATCAGTCAGACATAACAGCAACCAAGCAAATTGTACTTGCTTTGTGCAAGCAAAGTTGCTAAGTTCTTGCAATTGTACTTACTTACCAAGTAATCTTCCAACCAAAAGTATTTCCTTCCAAATTCCTCAATTTATCTTTAGACGAAAAGTCTTCTGATTATGCAACCCTTGTAAATCAGAAGCCTGACTAATCTGTACGTTTCATATGCGCCATTTCAAATACAGATGAAAATCTGACAGATTCGTTGACATCATGATTGAGTAAGCGTGCATATCAAAGATGTCACACGAAGGAAGTCCATTGTCCGCGTCGTAATAATTTCCCGTATTGCGGAAACGAGTTAATATATTGGCAGGTGACTCGCCTTTCGATCTCATCTCCGGCCGAAAAGCAAATTACTCGACCAAAGCGAGGAAATAGCGAGGGTTGCGTTGAGGGGGTCCTTCGTGTCCATGGCACGCGATGTCATATCACGTTATTGAGAGCTACTTGTCATTCTCTGCTTTGGCGTCACAGAACGTCCGTGTGGGATCATTCAATTAATTCCACCTTTACCCACATAAATACCTATCGATAACCACAGGAAAGTTTTTCGCGACTGGCATTGCTCGTTATCGCTTCGATCACGATCTTATGAATAGGCAACTTAAAACAATTGAAAATTTAATGTCTGCCCAATTATCACTGCCATTTAAAGAAGTTACTATGTTATTAGATCGGTGCACGTGAAATTGACATTTCAATAATTTAATTCTTCTTATACTAACAACGTTATCAGTTTTATAACAATTATTGCCATATTACTCAACGACTATATACCTTATTTACGCATTTGCGTTAACACATTGATATCTTTTCATAAAACAGATTCCCACAATATGCTTTTTATAGCTTTATATGTTCTGATCTATTGGGTTTTGAAAAAGTATTATCATTTTCTTCAATAATCCAATCTGATCCTGATTTCTAACAAATTATAAAATGGTATTCTCGTTAAATAAAATTCTGTCATTTGAGAGTACTATTTAAATAATAATGGCATTTCGTTAATTTGTAACAAAATATCGATGAAATGTTATCGCACTGTATTTTTGGAGATCGTAATACATTTGTGTTACTAATATTTTCAATGTAATCCTTTAAAACCATCGAATTCCAATATTGTTAAGAGGTAATTTGATAATGGATAATTTACTCGTTCACGTGTTTCTGCGAAATTCGCTTTAGCACGAATAGTCACACTCTGTATATATTGTACTCTCTGTAATATTTGTATGTACGTTGTGTGCGAGCCATTTGAACGGCCAGGTGTTACAGATTATTGCCCTAGCGAGTCGTAAACCGCAGACTATTTCTGTTAGGCGTCCATTTATAAATGCCGCGAGTCTAGCAAAGGCTCTGATTGCGATGCTCGTAGATAGTCATCGATACTAACTCTCCTTCAGCGATGCGTTCTGGGTGTGTGCATTTGCACGAACATAGATACTTGAAATCAACCTACTGCTTTATCTGTTCAACAGGACCTTAAATTTAAACAATCGCGTTACTTTTATCTAAACACGAAGTTACATAAACGAGAATCTATACTTCAATTAAATATTTCTCTCTTTAAATTCAACATCAACAAATATTTAAAACAGAACCACTTATTAGATTATTTTTCGAATCTCAATCTTGAAATAAGCACAATTAAAGGCGAATGAACACGACTTTATGCATTGTGGCCTTGCGACAAACGCGAATCAGGTATGACTTATTGTAACACAAATATTTTAATGTAATTGAGTGAAAAATTTTATAATTAAATGAATAGGAAAAGGAAAAATCGTTGGTACATAAAATCAAGTACAAATAGTAATTCCCTAATTAACAGCTTAAAACTTATAGGTACATTTGCTACGAGGAAATCAATTATCGTTAATTAACAATATTAACTTTTTCTGGCAATAAAACGGAATGTTGTATGCATCCTTGATTCCCCAGTCGCGAATAGAACCTGCTTGCCAAGAAATCCGCTTTACGACTACATTACATATCCACTAATTGTCCCTATAATCCTGTGAAATCAAGGACAAACCACAATTCGATATAAAATATTCAACCACAAAGCATTAGAGACTCCAAAAACAGAAGCCAAATTCTGGTAATCCTCGTGAATCCCGAAAAAGTTTCCCTATATGGAAACAGCTTTACCGTTTCGTAAACACTGTGTAATCTACTTCTGTCGAACTCTAGCGAAAAAGGACACGGCTAACCCAGGCAGATAGGGGCAGAGAATAAAGAGAGAGAAGCGTAACGAGAAAGAGATAAAGAAATCGAGGGAACGAAGGACACGGCTGTTGCATCCTGGCGTAGGAGTGCATCAACAGGATCTTGCTGGACCAAGAGTAGCTTCGGCGTCGATGGTGGGGAGGAACAGGTCCGTGGTGGGGAATGCCGATCGGAGGCGGGGACGATCTGGCGAAGATCTCGTGTCAGTCGAGCCGTGTGCCGCGTCGCGGTAGTGTTGTGTCGTAGGGCCGCGATTCGCGTGTCGCGTCAACCCACCAATGACGCTTTGTTTGCTGTGAATTATGAGCGATGTGAGTTCAGTGAAACGAGATTGAAGGTATTGTCGTTCGTCGTCGACGTGTTTCCTTAAGGCATTGTGAAAACGCACGATCCATCGTCGATAAAAGTAACGCCAGAGGCAGAGCGAGCGAGAGAGAGTTTGTCGTTACGACCGGACCGCGTGCTCCCTGCCGTATTGGTCTCTGCTCTTTTGGGGGGTTTTCAAGGTTACGCTTTCATTGCCGGCACCCGAACGATCCGGGCCGTTGCTTCTGGCCCGCGCTTCTGCTCGTTTTTTTCGTTCTGTCACTCGCGTGCAACGAACGCCGGGTAATTGAAAAAACACCGTAGCGTAAAACCGAACCCTGACGTTTCGAATCCTCCGCGTGTGACTCCGTTTACGAGAAGTATCGGTGAGTTGTGTGTTTCATATGTTGGTGTTCCCTCAAGGTTCTTGTTTTCGTCGGTAAATATCAGTGAAAAATAATTCGTAAATACCCTCTGTCTACGCGGAGTAGACGAGGCGTCGATGTCGAATGATACATAGTGTCCGAAACGGAGCCGTTGATAGGTTATGTCACAGGGAATCCCCAAGGTCACGAAGGAATAAATACTACGAAGAGACGTCAGAATCATAATAACGACAAGAGAGGCGGCATATCGAACGAGAGCAAACAGAATGTGTTAAAAAAAACAAACATAACCAATAATTTCGGAGTCCCATGCTGGTGGGAGTCACAGCCGGTGAAAAATTTATAACAGAGGACGAGGCGCTTGTTTAGACCACGTCTTCCGTCGCGAAACAACGCGCTCCAATTAACGAGACTAAAGAAAAATCGTGCGAAGTCAGTGTCCCCTTTGTCTGCTGGACCGGTGCGTTGACCCTGAGGCCTCTGAAACTTTCTGCACCGTGTAAAAAGCAAGGACAACGCGCGAAGTGACGGAGAGTCCCGTACATAAAAAATTAATTTCTCGTCGCGGGGGCGTACGCTGCCACCGACTATATACGTTGTCGGTAGGAGGGGGGGCTGATAAAAGTTTCAAGTTCTAATTTGCAGCCCGTGCCGGCCCCGGGATGGTGGTTCTCGCGTACGTACCGTTCATCGGCGACACGTGTGTATGAGCAGTAGTTTCGATTGGGCGTTTGAAATGATTGGCCTCACCCCACGTACGTTTCACCTCGTTCCTCCACCGTGCGAGTGCTTCGTGAAATAGATCGAGGCAGAGACACGGAGTACGATTAAACCGCGTTCGTCTTTTAATTCCTCCCTATATACACACGTATATACGTATATACTCCGGGCCTCTAGCGAATCAAGCCGAGTGGCTTATAAGAGAAGCGTTCGGAAGGAGATCGTATCGGTACGTTGGACCAGTTGGACCGTCCGCGCCTCGTAATGAGCTAGAGCCCCAGCCACTGTACGGTTGGGAGATCGAACGTGACCAGTGGGGGCCCCCGCATCGTCTATCGGTATTCCCGAAGGAGCCGTTAATCGAGGTGCCCGCCCCATTACACGAAAAACCAATCGGACTTGGAATCGTCGTCGTCTTCTTCTCGCCCTCGATCGGAGAGAGAATCGGTCCCGCCCGATTGAATCGCGAATATTATATACGTGATTTCACGATCGTGTTACGACCACCTTGAATAACAGACGTGTCGGAGATTCGCGTTGTTCGCTCGAAGATGTCGCGGCGTGCTGTAACATCGTTGGGACAAAACGCGTAAAGGGTCGGCGGCACACCGTGTCACACGGGGGGGCTGGATCGGAGGACGCGCGTGAAATCGCAAGGAAAAGAACCGCGGGGGCGTACCGAGAGGCGCCTTCGCGCTCATTAAAACCAGCAGACATGACGATGGCAAGCAACATTGTGGTCGAGTGGTTGCGCTCCCTTCACCTGGGTCAATATTCCGAGTCGTTTATCGACAACGGTTACGACGACCTTGAGATCTGCAAGCAGATCGGGGATCCTGACCTGGACGCGATCGGAGTCTTCAATCAGACACACCGGGCACGTCTGCTGCAGTCCGTGAAGACCCTAAGGGAGGAAGGCGCCGCGAGCGTTTATTTTACGCTGGAGGAGAGTAATGACTGTCTCTGCGACAATGTCAGCTCCAAGTCCTCCAGGACATCCTCCGAGAGACCACCCAGTGATAAAGAGGCGCAGAGGGCCTCGCCAACCGCCAGCTCTTCCAGCGGCGGTCAGGAATTAACCAAGTTCGCGGACGAATACGAGGAGGGAAAGGCGGAGCTCGTCAGAATCCCGAGGATGCAGCTCAGGATGCTGCTGCAGGAGAAGCTGAGACACGACGGCATCAGGTTGGCCTGTCAACCGTATACAACACCGGTAAGCCATGCCTGTCTTTGTTTATTCGTTATTTTACTCGCTTCGCTGTATTATACCCTGGGCCGGGTATAGTTTAAAATACGATGGTCATTCATCTTCCTAAGGAAGACACAGGCGAAAGAATTTATAAGGGGTAGATTGTACGAGTAGGATGCAAAATGAATGACGTGAAATTAGTGGATATTTATTATCGTTCGAACTGTCTTGCGTATCGCGTTTTTCTCTTCTATTGAAGGAACTACATACATATGTACGTTTCGATGATACACCACACGGGAATACTTGAGTATCTTCGACGATGTGCACTTCCGTCTTTTTTTAAATGAAAAGCAGATGCGGTAGATAGTGAACCGTGACTGTACTTGGATTATTATCCCCCTGAAAGACATTTATACCTTTTTGGATGAAAAAGACCCAACAGCGCAGCGAATCATGAATCGGAAAAAAGCACATTAACTGCGAGACAGATGTAATAAATCAAAGTGGATTTCTTATGTTCCAACTTATAACATTTTCTTTCAGGCCCATAATTATTCGAGGCAGCATGACACATGTCACCTATATTTGAGTAAAGTTTGTAGTGGATAAGAAAAGTAATGGTTTTATTACCAAACATATAAATAATCTAACATAAAGTAAATATTTGGGCAAGGTAATTTGAGCGTCTTTTAATGTTCACAGAAACCATAATTAAGAAACGTATAAATAATAAAATTTTTAGAAAATTATAATGTATATACGAGAATTAGCATGTTAAAAAAGAACTGATACGTTCTAAATCTAATTTGATTTATCGCTGAGTATTTAAAGTGATTTGTTTTCAAACTAACCGTTTTTCATAACCAAAATAATAACTAAATAATTGATAAAATAAAAATTGTGTCTAACAGAATAGGTAGACCATCATAAACACCGCGTGAGCCATATGATGGGGGTACCTATAGGAGGGAAAATTACGAACTGCTCCAATTTGACGCTAAAGTGTCGCATAATCTTGAAGGGACAGTTTTAGAGGTCAGCAGTAAGCCTTGATTGAACTATTACCTATTACCGCGGTTTAATTAATGTATTAAATCCTTTATAACACCACACTTGTATAACCAATGTAAGCATAAAATTATTATGCGAATAGAAGTTTACAAGTAATTTAATAAATAAATCATGCAAGAAGGATTACAATTAAAACATATAAATTATACATGCGCATAAACTATATAACACGTATTAATGCTAAATATTACACATATAACTATATACACTAAATAAGCGATCTCGAATTCATTAGACTGTGATGGCATACCTCTACAGTTATCAGTTTGAAATAACCAAATATGATTAAATATTCCCAACGACGTGACGGTTATTGTTAAATACATCCGAGTAAAATCATCAGCCTGGGGAATAACTTACGTGAGTTAATGGTACCTCGGAACAACTGATAATTTAGATAACTTGTAAGCCTTGCGAGACACTCCTCGAGAACTCGGGTAATCCTGTGATTCATTGTTTCGTTATATTAATCACCGCTCAGGATAAGACAAATTGCCCTATAAAATTGTCGTGCTCTAACTTACGCGCATTTTAACTAGTATCATGGTACGGAGAGTTTTCTAAGAAGATAGAACGTTTTTGTATAAAGGAAGTGTAGGTCATAGTTGATTAATGATTGGAAGCATTCTTATCACTTTTCGTATCGAGCATATGGCTGATTTTAAACTTTCAGCGGTTGTAACTTTCTTTGGAACTTTAAATAAGGATAGAGATTAGAATAATATATGTAGAGTCGAATTGATATAAAGTGGTAATTATGCATATAAAGACGATTTCTTGTTTTTAAGCTTATTATAAGAGCTCGTGTAACGGTCTCTTTCATTGCTTTTTGCTGATCCTTTTCGTTGACTGGTGAACACATACTGTTAGCGATTAGATAACGATTGCTGCATAAATTTTAGCATCTTTTGCGCTAGTTCCTTATTTCAAACATTGTTTCAACAAATATTACTATATAACTAGTAAACATTAATGATAATGTACTGTTAATTTAGCAATGAAGGCGTTAATTTAAATTTCACCATAACTCATTACATGAACGGAATTACAATCATGTTTAAATATGTATAAAATAATCATAAAATTATTATAATATTATGACGTTGAAATGTGGAATTCAAACTTACATACTGACAGATTATAATGAGTCCTGTAAACACACTAAGAAATTACTGGTGTCAGAATAATAGAGTAAAGCGAATTCCGGATTCGTGTTTAATAAAGGAGACTGTTCCCTACGTTAATTACAAGTCCAACGAAATTGAAACAAATCATTAATTTATTCCACAACAGTTCCTACGGAATTACAATTTTGTTTGTACGATTAAACGAATTGTAAATTAAATAATCACTCATTTATTACTCTTTAGATTCTTTCATTAATTTCACCGAATGTTACACAAAATTCGTTGATATGATCTCTAGTTGTCTAAGAGATAAATAACGATATACATACACAGTATATCTACATATAGTTTGCTGTTACAATACATCTAAAGAAATTTGATGATTCTCTTACAGTTCCCTCAACAATTATTCTTTTTCACCTAAAGTACTAAACTGTACATTACGTACAATTTGTATCTTGATGTGTTCAAATCTTCAATACCATCAATACACTATCAATACGTAATATTGATGCTCTCCTGTGCTCCAATTTCCACATCAGCAAGTAAACAGTCCATTCATTCATACGAATACAGTTTTCTGAAATTCCATGCCTCGGTACATTGACCCACCCGCGATCCATTATAAAACCAGTATATGTACGTATAAACGCGACACTCGTGTGGCTAATGTCGAGAAAAACGAGTAAGGTTACGTACCTGGAATCCGAGGTAACAGAAACTGAAATTACAAAGTCTCGTCATCGTTGTCGGTTATTATTCGCCGCGGCCACGTGTGTGCCTGTGGTCGTATCGTTATCGCGAATGTAAAGCCTGGTCGCTTTATCGACTTCGAAACAACTGTAAGGCTCGAGCGTCGTCGCTAATGATTCACACAACTCGACAACGTCTTTCCCCGTATCTGCGTACGTTAATTAGCGTAGCGGGACGGGTTGAATGCAGATGGAAAGATAGACGCTTTATATTGGGAAGCCCTCCTCCGGCTGGTTTTATCGCGAGGATAATTCCGCCCCGTTATTTACATTCGTGCCCAGCGGTACATTATGACCCCCGGCGTTTACTGTCGTGGCTCTTATTTCACCGGTTTATAGTCACCTTTTGGTGCTTAGGTTATTGGGCAAGGTGGCGCTTGGTAGGTAGGTAGGTACAAATCGCGCGCACTGGTACGGGGCGGGCGTCGAATTTGAATGATAAAAGGCGCAGATCTCGCGGAGATAAATTTTAATTCAATCCCGGTCACCGTACGTATTAAATGCCGCTTTACAACGATTAATATCGAATTTATGAAGCCCGTTTGAAGAATTTGAAAATTTTACGGTTCCGGTTTTACGAGCCCCGGCCATGAAAAACAGTGTTTAACGCCAGCTCGGCTAATAATGAAATGGCGAACTCGTATAATTCACACGGGGGTCTCACACGGGCGGTGTTTGTGTGTGCGCGCTGTGTGGCTGATCGATAAACCGGCCGGCGAAAAGAGCAAATTAAAATGCGGGGAAGTCTAGGAATTAGCGGGTTAAGGGTGATTATCTGCAGAGCGTTCCGCGTAACCGCTTCGCGGAGGCTCTTTTGTAAGTAATAGCCACGTGAAAAAAAAAAAACTTTTCGCCCACTAGTTTTTATGAAGAATGTTACAGGCTCGAATTAATTCTCGCGGTTGGTATTACATTTCGAAGTATCAGGGCAGGCTGATTTGAATAATTTTTCGAATTCGCGAGATTTATCGTCGACCCATTTTGAACACGGTACGTGCAGCGATTCGGATCCGCTGTTAAATTAATTAAAATTCTTCGTATAGCGTAGTTTAAACGGTCAGCGTGAATTAATCAGGAGAGTGTCCATTACTGGTGTGAATCATAAACTTTACTTTGTTGATAATATATCTAGCAATATCTAGTAAAATAGTTCCTTTTCGAGTAGGTACATTAAGAAATGTAATTTTCGACTACCAACGCAAAGATTGGAAGTGTCACTTTAAAAGATATACCTATGTATTGATGTTAAATTTTAAAACGTGAATACATGAATAATGGTTTTAGACAGAATTGCTTAACAAATGATTGAATCTAAGCAACGTCTACTACAAGTCTATTTAAACCTGTAAAAAACAGTTTTGAATCTAGGCGCCTGTTACACTAACCATTTGTTGTATAGTTTTATCGAAAAACCACGTCAGTGGATTAGTATAAATATTACGTAGTAATGTCTCAATGAGTGCGACGAACTCTGGTCTGGTTCGGAGCATTCAAGGCAAGACGGAAATGTTTTCAGCCCTTCATGAATTTGATTCTGAGTCTCTGCTGAGCTTTTCTTTACTCTGTTTTGATTGATTCCATTTTGATTGAATAACGCCGTTGCTCGTGTCGCATTCATCGAGAAATCACTGTACCTATTATTTTATAAATCTTTTTAATCTCCCAATTGGCCTATCTACATGCACACCTTGTAAACAACTATCAATCGTTTCTAAACACAATTGCAGAGCAATATAATAATTCGCGGAATGTTCCCCAAACGATTAAAACAGACGGATAACAATGTACAATCAGGAAGCCATACTTAAATTAAGAAACCTTTTTATCTTTTTTTGGAGCATTGATTTATCGAACCACAAAAAAGAACACTCGATTAAACTTTTTAACGACTATGATCTCTGATCGTATAGGTACCCATATTTTTCAACGTGTTCCCGTGACACCTTGTGTACATGGCTTTTTCTCTGTGGATACGCATACTCGCACGCAAATGACCGCGGAGCAAGAAGAAGAGCAATAAAAATGCCTGTTCTCTCTCAGAGCACGGTGGTCCGGTCGTCACTTGCTCCTTTTTACCCTACCACGCACGATATACGCAACGTGGCCGAGTAGAGTGTGTGCACACGTGGGGTGGGGGAAGGATTTCAGCCCCGCGAACGGCATCGACCTTCGTCAAAATGATACTTACCACCTCCGGCTTGGATGCATACTTTCGTATTTATTGGTTCAATCCGGAAGGTCCGATTTGTACGGGCGCCTCTCGGCCACGTATCTGGCCAATCAACATTCCAAGCATAGGGACCCACGTAGCCAATTACGGTATCCGCGATACAATCAGCGCCACTATGCGCCCTATTTATTTGTTCAGCTGCTCGTTTATGGTGCAAAGAGTACACACGCCGTGAATATTGCATCGCGTGGCCGAAACAATTCCAGAAAATTTCTTTGGAATACTGGTCTTTGGGTTACAGGCGTATAACGTGTCTTCATTCGACATGGCTGGTTCACCTTGAATGCAGTGTCTCTTAATGAGTTTTCGGTTGCATCTACGAGAAAATGTTTAGAGGTACAGTGGGCCTATAATGCTATTGATTAACTGCGGCTATTTATATGACTTTTTCTGGGTTAATGTATGAAAACGAGCGTTAACACGTTCGCTACCAGTATACATGTAATTTCGAAAGTATTCTTCGTATACCATTGTTTTTTCCACAGGCCTCTATTATTCTCTTCAGTGGAATGTAGCCACTTTATTAATTAAATATTAAAAATACGTAACACAGGGATAATGAATAATATGAAATATAGGTGAATGTTGTAAAACTCATTATGCTTTTATCGAGTAAAGTATGTAGACTTAGAAACTGAAGTGTTACAGGTATGTAACGTTTGGTAGCCAACGTGCTAATCCTTTAACGCCCAGACCTCTAAATTGTTATTTTAAATTATGAGACTGATACATATATTGTATGTTGTTATTTTGAAGTCAAAAATATCGATATTAAATAGACCTATTTCCACTTTTTTTCTTATTTTTGGAAGGAATACTTAAATTTCCCCAGTAAAAATGTGGAGAGTTACTTCTCATCAGTAAAACTACAGATCCTTGCTGATAAAAGTCAGATATTAACCGGCGATGGAATTTGATGCACTTTTAAAATGTGCGTTGCACCGGTGCAATACTGGACGTTAAATGGTTAAACAGAAATTCATTATCTTCAGAAATATTTCTGGTAGCTAGAGAGGAAAATTAAGTTTATGTTAAAAATTGTTAAAGTTTGTATTTTACTGTATTTTACACAGATGGGCTATCCATACATGAAATCCACAGTCAAGCACTAGCATTGAGCTAGTTGAATTGTAAATGTCGTGGTTCTTGTCTTTAGAAACACGTTTCATTTGTTTGTAAG